AAAGAGTGTAAGACCTAAAAGTCTGCAATAAACATTCAGTGAAGACTATGCCCCTTAGGGTGGGCTATGTACTAATAACCAGTGGCTCTACCAAATCAGACAAATCCTGCACTCCAGCCACAGGAGAAAGGCGTAAAGGACTCTGGGTAATAATTCCATAGTCCCCTGCTACAGGTAGCACATTTGAGTTCTGGCTGTTTTTTGCGTTAATGGCTTTTGGCTGATTGCCTGGTATGCAGGAGAGTGCTGTACTGTACCGCAGCAATGTCTGTCAGCTGTGTCACACACATGCAGGCTTACCAAGTAGTAAAAGGTGATTTCTTTCTCCTCTCCCACAGCCTCTGGTGTCAGGATTACGGCACATGCACCTCCAAGTCAGAGTCACAGGGTAATATCTCGGGCTGGGGCTCAATTTTAAGGAAACTCTTACTTGGGGAATAAAACCGAGTTGCAGTGTGAGTGGCGGTACCATATTCAGGAATGACTCAGTTACTCTCATAGCAGTACTCTGTAGATTTATGTCTTGCCTGAAAAAGAAGAATAACATCTTTAGCAATGATCGGAAAGTGGGTAAAGGGTAGCATGCGATTGCATAAGGAGAACCACATTTTTTTTAATGTAGATTTTGCAATTTACAATATAGTAATCCTACAGTGACCTTTCTTCTGTGGGGATAAATAGGAAGAAAGAAGTGAAGGGCCAAACAGGAAGCATATGCTGGAGACAGGGAACAAAAGATTTAAAGAGGGTGAGGGAAAGGAAAGCAAAATGCCCAGTCAAAACACTTCATTTCCTCTTCTGATAAGCAAATAGCTTAATAATCACATGGATTTTTCTCGGAGAGCTCATTCAAAGGCATCTTCAGTTGCCTAGCCACTGACCTGGATATTAATGGAGGCAGCTGTGAAGTTTGTAGTGTCTATGGAAAACCAAACATTTCCTTGCTCATCTGTTGTATAGTTGCAATCATTCTTGTCCCCAGTCACATAAAGCTTGATTGTTTCATTGGCCAAAGGAGCATTTGATCCAGCCACCATCTTCACCTAGAGAAGAAATAAGCAATTGCTGCTGCTTATACCAGGTAGGGAAATACATTCCCACAGTTTTAAGGGGCACTTGCCCTAAGTACTTCTCTTCTGTGGTTCCAGAGGGTGCTTCCTGGGGAGCAGAACAAGGGGCAGGCATGTGTGATCATATGAAGTACCACAGAGGAAATGGCGCAACCTCATACAGTTTGATTAGGAACATGGGAATTAAAGTACTGAGCCTGGCCAATGGGCCTCCTACTCTGTCTGTGAGAGTCCACAGGGTTTCCCAGGAAAGCAACAGGATCCTCTTCAATGACAATGTTGTATCAACACCCTCAGTAACCACAGTTTGGAATGCTTTTCTGCATGGCTATAGATACTGCAAGTCCTGGACTCTCAAAGGCTCCCTACCTTCCCATAAAAGAAGATTCCTGGTCTGTAGTGAGAGTCCATGTATTCAAAGCTGATTTTGCTCATGAGTCTTGTGATTTCACAGGAGCCTGTTCCAGTTAGCTCTGCCCCTGTAAAACAGCACAGCAAAGAAGCGTTTTTAATGAATGCATCTTGGTTCTCACCTACAGCACCTCCGGTACTCCTATCCTGCCTTCCCACCTAACTGGCCTTTGCCTTTTCCTCTCCTTTCAGACTGGCAGCTCCACTAGCTATAGCAGAACTGCCCTACAATGCTACTAAGATAGCATTGTGATCTGTGATTTTGCCTTGCACTTCAATATTCATCTGGTACCCTTTGCGCTGGAGTTGGAATATCTTGGTCTTTATCACACTGGAGACAGCCATGTTCATCTGCCTGAACAGGGGAGAAAGGAGGAAACAGGATAATTCCTAATCAGTTCACGGCCTCATGAACAGGAACAGATCTCCCCACACCCAATACACCTGCCTGCTGCTTGGTTTAATCCCATCCTCTTACTAGCCTGATTCTGCTGGACTTCTTCATTTCCTTTCTGTCTCCAAAAAGACCCAGGAGACAGCTCATTAGTTTCTTGCCAGATCCCCAGGACACTTGTACATGTAACCATGTCATAATGTATACATGACAAAAAAATCCCTTTGTGTGGCTTAATGGCATCATATATTACACATACCTGAGTTCTGGGGGTTTTAAATGAGTTTGCATCATTGCAATTTGGAACACTGCAGCCATTAATCAGCTTACCCCCTGGCCACAGGAAAAGTGGGCAGGCTCCTCAGAAAAAAAAGGATTGGACCCCTCACCGCTTCTGCCTTCAGCAGGCTCCTGCAGCTGGCAGGATGCGTGGGGCCGCCCAAAACTGGGCTGGTTTTCCCCTGGGGCAGTGAGAGAAGGCAGCAGGATGGTGGCTGGGTTTCCTGGTGGCTGAAGAAGGCAGCAGGGATGATGCATGGGTTGCCAGAAGCCCAGGCAAGCTGTTAGCTGTCCAGGTGCTCTCCTGGCTTGGAAGTTCCCAATCCAACGCTCCTCCAAGCCCTCCCAGGCTTTCAGCACCCTATTCACCATCCCCGCTGCCTACTCCAGCTGCCAGCACACCCAGCTACCCTCCAGCCACCTCCCCACACTGCCCCAGGGTCAAGCTGGGTGTGCTGGCAGCTGGAGAAGGCAGCAGAGACAGTGTACAGGGCACTGGAAGCCCGGGCAGGCTCAGGAAAGTGTTAGATCAGGCACCTCCGAGCTCAGGCAGTA